CTTGAGACTTTTCAGTTCGTAGAATCTGTGAAGGAACGTTCGCCATGGAGACCACTCGTATCTCTTTTATGCTAAATAGTTTTGCTTGTCATGATGCTACAAAATGTGATACGAAATGTAAATCTTTTCGAGCAAATTATAATTGTAAGTATTTACACGTTATATAAAATGGTCAGAAAATGATTGAGTGAGGATCAATGGCTTTAGAAGAAGAAAAATTCCTGTTTTCATGTATTCATTCAGAAAAAGTCGAGAATAAGCTATAGAATATGTCACATTATATCATCCCGTTTAATCCTGTCGTAAAAAGAATCTCCTCCATATAAATTGTGGTTTGTTGTGGATTGTAAAAATACTTATACGTATAAAAACTATTAAATTCATGTTTATGCCGGAATAAAAACTTCTTGAAAAATTTTAATTTTTCCTACTATTTTAGATGAAATTCTGTTACATCATACTGAAAGACACTAATCAACATACCGCGTCTTGCAGATGTAGCAACATTTACGTCGGATACAACGTGTGTGTATAATAAAAAAAATAAATAATAATATAATAAAAAATAATAAAAAAGTATTTCGTCGAATTAATTATTATAAAGGTGCAATTAAATGGCTGACTGTACTCATCTTGTGCTGTAATAGTCAGTTTTATTAAGAAAATTAGATGCAGAAGCTTACTAATTTTTATGACCATTAAGAGTGGCCGAAATTATTTCGGAGACGAGACCTCCTAACATTTAGGCAAGAGGCTTGTTGCGCTCCGCTATGCATACAAATGTGACACGTGTACCGAGAAAATCATTAGGGTCAGGACCACCAGCAGGTGTAGGTGAACTTTAGGACCGGAGGGTTCACATTTAACTACCATGGGATAAATAAAAGTTCCTCCAGAAGTACCTTGGTGTGAATCAAAAAATTTAAAGTGGCGTACGAGACTCCTGAGCTACCTCTAATCAGCTTAAACTACCTTGAGTTACCTTGAACTAACTTGAGCTAACTTCAGCTACTTTCAGCTAACCTGAGCTACTCTGAATTACCCTGAACTAACTTAAATAACCTTCAACTGACTTAAGCTACATTTAGTTACTTTTAGCTATTCTTGGATTACCTTTATTTTCGGTAGGTAGCGTGAGAGACCTGACTGAATATATCACAATTATTGAAAACAAATGACATGTTTACACATATTCTAAAAGAGATAACTTCAGCCATATTTGGAAAAAAGTTTGGTTACGATTTGTTAATTTCTATCAGTTTTGTACGCCTTAGAATATGGTGGCAAATAAAGTACATTATAGGCATTTAATGCTTTTCTTTTTCCGAAAGGGCAAAAATGCCACACAAGCGGCAAATAAGATATGCGCTGTTTATGGCGAGGATGTTGTAACCGAAAGAACTGTGCGGAAGTGGTTTGCTCGGTTTAAAGCTGGAAATTTCAACCTTGAAGATCAAGAACGCCCAGGTAGACCGTCCACCACAGACGAAGATATGATTAGAATAGAAATCAAGAATAACCCACGCTCAAAGTTACGTCAATTAGCAGGAATGCTAAATAAATCAAAATCAACCATCCACGATCATACTGTGAAGCTTGGCTATATAAAATCGGCACGAACTTTCCGGACAACCCAGTGCATTGAGTTTTCATGAGCTATCTTCAGTTGTATCGAGCTAATTTTAGCTATTTTTACCTATTTTTAGGTACCTTCAGTTACCTTTAGCTAACTTTTCCTATCTTCAGGTACCTTTAGTTACCTTTAGCTACGTTTAGCTACGTTTAGCTACTTTTAGCTACCTTTAACTGTTTGATTCCTTTGCAGAGTCTACTGTTTACTAAATTATTTACAGTTTTATTATTTGAGAACGACCACTGAAAACATTATTATCTGCTACGAAGTAGTTCCTTCCTCAGCCATTAATGCAATAATAAAATTTCTATTTCAGAATATCTGCTGTTCTCTTTAGTATTTTCTTGTTGTCCTGTTTTTCTATGTCGTACTGTTTTAATATAGGCACTGTGTCAAATTTTTCACTTCTTTAATCTTGGGACTAAAACTTGAAGTTTGTTTGATTTAGACTGTTGTTCTTTCATATTATCGTAACTCTTAAAATTAACCCTAAAATTAATGTAGAAACTTTGAGTCTCTTGCTATTACGCGAAAACTTAACGGGGATGGGAGTGGGGGGAGGGGTGTTCTCGAAGCTACACATACATCCCTCTCCTTTCTACATATACATCCAAACATTTTTGAAAAGTTCTCTGATATTTGAGTATTTTTTATAATAGCCCACGAGTGTTCGTTTTTATATATAATGATTTATATTAATTAATAATATAAAATAATATAAAATGGAGTACTAACAAGAGATTAGTCTGTGCTTGACTGTTGATGATAAACACGATTTGGCTGAGTATAATGTTTACCGAATATGTATTCTGAGTTCTTTGTTCTGTGATCGTTTGTCATTCTTTGGAGATAAGAAGCGTGCCAGATATCGCGACACGTATAGCGTTTTCCTTCTTTTGTGCACAGTGTTTTTAACGTATACCAACGGGAACTTGAAAACAAAATGTGTATACAACATTTTTGACTCGTGGGAAATAAATATAATTTTTAATTTTTTCATTTGTGGGTTCCAGGAAGCCCCTTATAAGAAGTTCTAGGGTTAATTCACCAAAGACTGAACTTTTTGTTCGATCGTAGTTCGTATACGGAATTCAGAATTGCACCTTCTCATTTTTTAAATTTGTCTATGTTTTCGTCTGCTTCTATTTTGGATCTCTCTTTCTACGGTGTCTAATTAGAATTATTCTGTTTCAGTTCAATAACTTCACCGAATATTTAGTATCATCGGCCACGAACGACTCATCAAAACAATTGTAAGTCAGTTTTAAGTTCGTTATTAACACGTTGACTGCCACGCGTATTTACAACAAAATCTCCTACAGGCCACCCGTGCCGCTATAGGAAGCGTGCGCTGTTAATTCATATCTGTTTCTGTTCCTGCATGAACAGTTGGAATCTTTGCCGAGTACCGAATGGTATAACTTAAAATCTCTGCCCTTATTTTTTTTCAATAATGAAAAGAGATCGGATTGCCCGGAAGGAGAAGCATAAATAAAATTACATCGTCAGATTCTGATTTGGATACTGATAAATATAATCTTAGTGATAATGAATGTTATGAAGATACTATTGACGAGATTTTACGAGAGAGAATTGGTCATGGAAGAAGAAAGAAATGTTGATGATACTGAGGAAGCTACAGTTCAAATAAAAGATACGAAATGGACCGATCAGAGGCACGAGCATATCTGAAAAAACAAACAACTTTTTGTCCAAGCTGTCCTGATCAACCTCAACTTTGCAGAGAATGTTTTAATGTTATACACTGCGAATAATTTTTTTAATAAACCATTTTTATAAGAATTCAATAGTTTCATTACCTCTTGTAGAATATTTGTCGAAATATTTTCGGAAATCCTTTGTAAGTAGTCAAATCAGCGTCACCCGAATTACGAGTGACGTGGCCTGATGAGAACTTTTGCTGTCACCCGAATACGGGTGACGCGGCGGTCAACGTGTTAAGACTGTAAATGGACGTTGTAAAGTACGTCGAACAATAGTTGCCTCGACGTAACTTGCTTACATCAGTATTTGATATCTCATCTGACAGATATTGGATGATTGGATGTGTCTCAACACTTTACATAGCAGACATACAATCATTTTATTCATATTTTCTTTGATAGAATAAAAAGCCAATTTCAAACAGAAGCCACTAGTAGAACTCTCGATAATGACAGAAAATGTGTCCTGAATTCTATAAATAACGTTACAATTGGAACTTAATAAGTACGTCGACTATGCCATTCACGATACGCATATCGTGTAGTCGATAATACTCATCGAAATGTAGCCAATGTAATTTTTAAATTGTTGTCTAAAGCAAAAAGGTACCAAACAGTGAATGAAAATCTGGCCTCGAAATATAACGAATCTTTTGAAGGAAGAGTTAACAACTTATCCAGAAAATGTTAAACCAGCATTAAACACGGTACTTTATAAATGAGTTGTTAAATATAATTCTAGGTGTTAGATATTGCTTTATACACAGTTGTCCAAAAGTTGTACATACATACACTACCTCAGATACCCGATTTATGCTCTTGAGAGAATCTACGAGCGAATTGGATACCGGAATCCGTAAAATTGAAAATCGCGATACGTAGATGCAGATAGTGATCTATCAGTCTTTAGTATTTTTTAAATTATTTAAAGTACATACTAATCTATAAAAACGATTAATACCATAGAAGACACGTCCTAAATAATCTTACCATTACATTCTCCTTACACGATACGTATCAAAATTTTTAATTTTGAGAAACTGTCTAAATATCTCCCTCATTATTTAGACAATTTCTGAATATTAAATAGTAATTGATTACTACGGTAAATTCTCCCTAATTTTTCTTCGGCTTGTAAACAAAAATAAACAATTTGGGAAGAGGAGATACGATTATTTGAGCCTTGCACCTCGTTTCATAATTGTTGACAACCGGAAATTATAAAAATGAGTCGCGAGGCACGAATAATCGTATCTCCTCTTCCCAAGTTGTCCATTTTTGTTTACAAGGTGAGGGACAATATTGAAGAGAATTTACTGTACTTTTCTTTGTTTTCTAGTTGTTTCAAGAAAATAAACTAAAATATTAATTGTATCGAGTATTTAATCAATATATGTTCATTTTAAAATTGACAAATCTTTTATATTAATGCCGTAGAATTTGAGGTGCAAGCAATCTCGTTTCCTTAAATTAATTCGTCACTATTGCTTCCGGCCAAGCCCTTATTGCCAGGGGTTGTATTCCCTTCGCTTCCCGACCTACTGCAATCGCGATCGGTACCACTGTGTATTGTACATGGACTTTTGTGATGGACTGTGTATGCAAACGTGGCTGCTTTTGTAGGAAGTAATTTCGATACGCACCAAGCAGCGAATGATAATTTCCAAAGTGAACCACGCGTTACACGTGTGCTCGAGGTAAAAGAGCACGGGGTATGAATCAACGTTGTCCTTGTTCCAAGTCGATTCCGATTGAAACAATTCCGGATGCCGTTGATTGTTTCTCGAGCGTTTCGTTGTCGTGTGACTCTTCAGGCAGAAACAGAGAACCGAGAGGCAGATGAAAAGTATCGAAGCACCGGCTATACACTTCGCCGTGAGGGATGAGTATGGCTCGTCAAAAAGAGCCCAGATCCTTGGCCGTAGTTTTTGCCATCTCGATAAGGTCCCTCTGTTGTATTCCTCATCGTAGCCGAAAAGCCGCGCGATTTCCTCATCGCTTAGCTTCTCGCCTTCTACATCAAGCTTGTCGAGTATCGCTAGCGTTGCTTTGGTATCTCTGTGGATGCTGTAAGTACTCCAGCAACACGGCTCCACCTGGAACAGATAGAAAATCTTGGATAAATTCTTGCACAGTTTATAGTATACCAGTTACTGACACTCCCCTCCAAAAGTGTATTAAAGGACTCACAGGAAATTCAATAAATTGGAGAAACCAATAGATACACATGTAACATATATTACAGTTTAATACAATTAACTTTGAAATAAATTGAAGAAATTTAACATCATAATAAATATAACGTCAATCTTATAAAAGAATATTAAGTGTTCTTTTCGACGATATTCCACCGCGTTTTTTAATTATTTCTTGGGCTAACTTCGGTATCCGTTTTATTAGTTTGTTTATTATCTTTGATATATGTATTTAAAAAACATATCGTACGCAATGAACTGAACAAAATGCAATAAATGGGTAAACTAATTGCAATAGTGGCAAACACTTCTAACTTAATGTGTACTTTAGNAAGTGTTCTTTTCGACGATATTCCACCGCGTTTTTTAATTATTTCTTGGGCTAACTTCGGTATCCGTTTTATTAGTTTGTTTATTATCTTTGATATATGTATTTAAAAAACATATCGTACGCAATGAACTGAACAAAATGCAATAAATGGGTAAACTAATTGCAATAGTGGCAAACACTTCTAACTTAATGTGTACTTTAGACTAAACATAAAATATTACCTAAACTGAATGAGAAA